GATGGAAGACTGCCTGTTGTCGGTCTTTGCCGGTTGAACATTCATGTTATCTGCAGATGGAGTCCAGATACGTTTCAGTGATTGAAATGGTTCACCTTTGACATGTTTTTGGAAAACTTTTGTACAAAATAAAGAGAGAGCAGCAGTAACAGTCTCCAACACCCACAACTCCCGTCTTTACCTCCCTGCAGCAGTGAGCATATCAGCCAGTCTCTTCTCTCACCCCTCTCTTTCTCTTTCTCTCTCTCTCTCTCTTTCTGGTAATTTGTTGTGTAAATACGCTTACAGCTGACGGGCCCTTTCGGCTGTGTCGCTGGAAATGCAATTACAGGCAGCAAACATGTCCATGTAACTGGAGGGTGTGACGCTCATTTCGGACCCCACTGCAATGAAGGGTTGCTATTGATCGGTATCAGCTTTGAGGAGGGGATTACTAATGAAGCCATCTGAAAGCCTTTTGTATTCGGTAAAGAGCTGTGAGAGGGTAAAAAGAAGCAGACGGAGATAATGTGTGGAAACCACTTAGCCTTCCTGTTGTAGTGCTCTGCTGCCTCTGGTGGCTGTTTTGTTAATCACAGCAGCCTTCACTTTTTATTCTGGAAACATCCTCATTGTTGCCATGTTCTTTCCCCCTTGTGATGTGTTGTAACTACAGTGTGCTGAGATGGAACTCCTATCATACTTTTATATCTAAAGAGCTTTTGTAGCCTTTTTATGGCACAGATCTAACAAGATTTTTATTATAAAATAGTGATAATTTACCATTGTTAATAAAGAATTGGGATATTATTTTGACTTACTGTGAAACCTATTGTAACACCAGCCACTAAAAACTAAGATTCTAATCTTTTGATTTACACTCCAACATAAAATGTTCATGAGAAATGTGAAATATGTCCTTATTTCTCTTTTATTGCCAAGACTCCACGAGAAAAGAGGTTTTTATATCCACCCACCAATCCATTTTTTAGAGGAAAGAAAAGCTAAGTTTTTGATAAGTGTATGACATCACCCTTTTTTTTCGGCTCAGCACGACCAGTGAGTAGAGCACACTGAGGACCGGTATAGCTTATGAGAAGCTACAAAAAAAAGTGAATCATCGCAGAGATCCTTGTTTATTATACATTAACCTGTCATTACTTATTGATCCCTGCAAAGAGAGCTCATAGTTTACATGCTCATTAACTCGTTACACAAAACACTACAGTATCTATAGCTCCACTTCTCTCTATTTTTGCAGCTCTAAGGCGGCAGCTGGTGCAGAGTGAAAACTTCAAGACAGCACTAATACACAGTTGGACATTATTCTCACACACACAAAACATGTCAACTGTACAGCGTGCTTATTCTCTTGCCTAATATCACAGTGAGGGGGTCTTTGAAGCAGAACTGTTTTTTGTCTCTGTTTGATGTGCGTGCAGCCGCCTGTGGACAAACGACTCGCTTCATTCTCTCCTGCTTTTGTTCCTTTGTGTTCATTTACGCCTTTGCGTGAAGTGATTATTTTTGCATATTCATACAATTCTTATTATTGAATGCCTTTTTCATATTGTGCCTCTTTGAGGGGATGTTGAAACAATGCAATCATCAGGCGTTGGTTTGGGGTTAATAGTCTGCAAAACACTGTGATGTTTGAGGTTGAATCTCCCCTTTTTTCTTCACAAGAGCAGACAACTTCTTGTTCACTTTAAAGTTACATTTTTATTTTATAGAAAGCTGTATTTAATTGCAAGTGTGTGTCTGTGTATAATGTTTTGAATGTTTGATAACTCCAGTTGAAATAAGCACAACGTACTTCTTATGTCCTTGTGCCGTAATGAAAGGATCAGCACTCAAGTGAAGACCTCCCTCGTCCCAATTATGCCCCTATGTTGTGCCCCCTACTGATAAGTTACATAACCACTGCAACCAAAACAGCATTGCCCACCTTCAACAGACCCAGGATCTACCTCCCCTACCACATGGCCCCTTCTGGCCCCCACAGGCTGATTTACAGCAAGAGCCAGGACGTCATTGGAATGTGACGGACAGGGAGCTCCTGTGTCCCAGAGTCATCCCCCTCCATGCTGGCTATCACCGCCCACAACACCCACACGTGGCACTTCTATATCTTACCTACCCGTCCACATGGCTATCATCAGCCCGAACAGCATTGCCACCATCAACAGACCCAGCAGGTTCCACAAGCTCCAGCTGGTGACAACACTCAAAACTACCTAACTCACCACCAATGCCCCTAACGGCCCCCACAGACAAAATGCAACTATTCCTGGTGCCAACATTACACATGAAAAGAAAAATTCTGAGTCATGATAAATGTTGGGTCACCTGTCGTGCTTGAAAGACTTCGAGCAGTCTCACTTTGTATCTTAGGTGAGAGATGTGCTTTACATTGTTACTGCACAACAACCCTCAGATTAAACGACCGGTTCAGTTGTTGGTTGAATGTGTTGTGAAATAGAAATTGGTGCCTTTTAAGGTCATCCGTCTGGAAACAAAATATTCAGCAGAGCAGATGGCAATGCTAATCCCATAACTGAAAAATAAAATAAGAGTCACTAATGGGCTGGAAATGATTGACAGGAGAAAACACAAGCTTAAACCACCTAGCTACAGCTGGGGTTTGTGCCCCTCGGAGCGCTAATCCTCCAACTCGTTTCAAACACTGCTGATGGCCCACTGACACTGAGCAGGCAGCCCAGATAATGAGATCAAGATGGCAGGATAAGTAAAGTCAATGCTCAAAGCAGCAAGGGGTGAGAGGGCTGAGAGATGGAGTGCTTTATGGAATAAAAATAAGACATAAATATGTGAAAGCTGCACAAAACAAATCTGTAAGACATAAGGCAGAAGCCACAGAAGAAGCCTTTTGACTGTGAAGACAAAGAGTAGAGTTGTATAGATATGCTGACCTGTATGCTTATCCTTTTACTATTTCACCTGCTGCAGACTGTAAGAACATGCTGGCAGATTTAAGTGAATGAGTAACACGAGAGTCTCAGGAGGAAATCCCCTGAGGTGAGTTTGCCCTTTTCACACTGGACTCGACCATTATTACCATTGAAGTGAAATGTAACTTCAATGGTAATACTGTGACACAACAGTATTTTGAAAATAGTCTCTGTATGTAGCCTAACACAAGAAACCAGAACAACTCTTTCCCACTTCTACAGATTCTGCATTTCTAAGCAAAATCTCTCGTCTCTATTAGAGATAAGTATTCTCCTTGTTGTTTCATTATTTTTGCAAGAACTTATATTTACTACTCGTGTATTTATGTAAATGACAAATTCTTGGCATTTGACTTTTGTCTTAAGATTAAAAAATCACAATGGTTATAATTTGCCAACCCTTGACTGTGTACTTTTAAGTTCCTGGTTTGACCACCAGATGTCAGTGTTGGCCAGCTGATGATGCTTTCAGGTCTGTTGAGTTAATCAAATCTTTTGAGTTAGACTTGAGGAATATTCACATTTTTAGTAAGCTTGATCAAAGGTGAACCGCTATTTTCTCATTTTGAAATAGATAAACTGAGAGTGAAATGATTATGATAACTTTCAAAATGACAGCAAATAACACACCATCTTTTATTACAAATATGATTATCATTTGGCTGAAATATTAATGCACTGGACTTTTTTAATTAAAACTTCTGAAATTGTCTCATTGAAGGGCTCATTCGCCAAGAGGACTGTTACTCGTACACTACAGTGATTACCTTTCCTGTTAGGGGCAGCTCAAGTATTCTCTTTTAGAGGATTTGTTGTTATCACTTCAGTACCCACCACAGAGTTGGAGTATGCTCCAAGGCCTCAGCATAATAGCCTCTGTGAATGTGTGTGGTTTTGACTGTGAACCCTGCTTGGCATCAGACTGCCTTGTTAGGTCCAGATTTATTTGGTCAGACATGAAGCAAAGTCATGTGGACCACCCTGCCTCCATGAAACAGGGACATAAAACCACATCCTCTCTGAGAAGCCGAGACACAAAGCTGCACTTGTGCGCATGCGTGACGTCCATAGACTGTAATAAATGTAAGTTTCCCCTCTGTTTTTAACCGGTTCAATTACAATATTTTAACAGCGCAGTTTTAAGCCTCATGTTGGGTTATGTAACCTTTTGAACCGGATAAAAGTCTCAGTCTCTCAGTCATCGTAGCCATCATTAAGGAGTTTTATGCTTTGTTTTTAGCCTGATGGCTCTGCTAGTCAGACACTTAAAAGTGGCTTACCTAACCTCCTTATTGACAATTTCAAACTGTTTTGGAACAGCTCGTACTTCCTCAGAGCGAAGGAGTCAATCCGAACTGGATAGGTGGCCGCACATTGGCAGCCAGCATACAGTACTACAATCAACTACACGTGCGTGACTGTTTACATACCACACCCCATCTGAACTTGCATCTACTTCTACGCACAGACTCATGAACTGAATATATATATATATGTATATATATACACCAATCTTGGTTTTATGTTATTATTAACTCCAACCCATCAGTAGACATTTTAATAATCTATAGACCACCCAAACCAAGCAGTGTTTTGATCCAGGTATTTGCTGACTTTTTCATATTCTTCGTCCAGGTTTGACAAGGTTCTTTTAGCATTCTATGGTCACCTTGGACTCTTTTAACATCACACTAAGGCAGCTGAAGTTCAAACATACTCGAAGGTCACACCCTTGATTTGGTTTCACACCACAGTCTCAGCCCATACAACTTTGAAGCTATAGGATATCTGTGTGTCAGATCATTAACCGGTTTTATTTAGTGTGGGTTGTATCATTTTGTACTCCAATCATAGCTGTCAGACCACTTGGATTCAATTGCTCTGTACAAAATCAAAGATTCTTCAAAAACATCTCAGCCTTGGCTTAATGATGCGATCAAAAAAAGCGACGCAAGAAGCGAGAGCATCCTTCTAATCTAATTTGATGTAACTGTCCTAAACCCAGAATTATATATTCGGTTTGTACTTGTGTCTATCTCCTCTGTACAGATAACCAGCTCCTGCAGTTTGGGAAGCTTGTGAGCACCTCAAACACCTATGAACCCGTCGCCCCTGGAAGCCCCAGGAAGCCTGTAACCGTGACAACAGACCAGCCTCTGCTCTGGAGCATGGGGATTCACAAGGACAAGGAATGATACTGAAGAAGTCTGTGTTATCGTTCCAGTATTTCACAACTCATGACACAAAGTATTTCTCTACAGCTGTTAGAAGTTATCATGACCACAAATAACAGAACTTAAATGTTTTTAATTAATGAGTGATGTGATGATCAGCTCTGCTAGAGCGCTAAGAAATGCTACTTTGAGTATTGATACAATCTTTGCCAAAGAATATTCTGTTTTCTATGAATACATGTATGATCTCATTAGCTTCAAAATGAAACCTTTAGAATCCTGTCCTCTAATCAATCCGCAATTCAAGCCTTCTTTTTAACAATATGATCACCTCCTTTTGAACACATTTTGATTTTAAACAAGTTAACTGACTGATGGGTAATTTTCCTTAAGCTGTAAGTATATTGTAGAAGTTTAGTCCCCATATCCACTGGTTGTCACCCTTGAAATGTGTGCATGTATATGCCTTGTTTCACAGCCTATACAATATGTGCCTTTGATAGCTTGTTCTCACTGACCTCTTGGCGCAACCATAAAAATAATGTCTTGCAAGTTTAAATGACATGAAAAAACAGAACATTGAATATAAATGATGTGTGCCTTTGACTCGTTTAATGATGTACTTCTGAAAGATTTGAAAAGGTTCAAACCAAACCGTTTGCGTGATGTTGTGAAAGCAGCATATTTTAAATTGACTGGACGAATCAGATGATGGGTTTCCATTTGTTTTATTTACACAGCGAAATAGAAATGTTGTGCACAGAATGTAAAAATGTCCTCCCTTCAGTCCCCAATCACACCAGCCCAATAACACGTTGCATCATCATCATTATCTCCAGAATTGTTTGTCCGGTCTTGGTTGAGTCAGGATTTAACCACCACTAGAAGGAAAATAAAAAAAGGCACGAGTTAGAGACAGGATGGATCCAAATGGTACATGAACCGAAACATGTTCCTGTAGTCTTCAGTTTGAATGACCATACAAACGCACAAAATGTGTGTATCACTGTACCACTTCTTCAAGAATGTCTTACTGCACAAAACAATCGAACTTCTGCACTAACAAAACTCATGGATAAATGGTATTTCAATGATGAGTCTTAAAAAATAAAACACATATTCAACCACAGTTACTGTGTTTGTTTGTTTTCTCTCTTTCTATTTGCGTGTGTGCTGATAGGCAATGGGACAACAACCAATCATAAAAATATCAGTGTGATTATTCCATTTCCAATCCAATAATGTGATAAATCAAATAATGGCCTTTAAATTAATCTTATTGTTACAGTAAAATAACAAATGTGTCTTATGCAGAAGGTTACACATGAAAGACGTTCGGTATTATTTGGTCTCTCAGTAAAGGATTGTCCCTTAGATGATTCATGCTAGAGAAATGTTGATAAAAAAAACATAACATTTAGTATTATTGCTGTTGTTTAGCCTGTAAAGCATTTGTTCTATGAATATCAATGAATGCTGACACTGCGGCGTTAAACCCAATGTGACTTAAATGAACATGTATTTGCAGTAAGAACATAAAGACAATGAAGCAATGGCCTGTCTGTCAGAGAAACACCCCCTCTCTCTCTCTGACGAGCCGTCATGATAACAGTGACACTTGAATATCTAGTCAAGACAAACCTAATCAACTTCTCTTAGTCTTCCTAATCATGCTTACTTTGAAATGATCTGTCATTAGAAAAAGTCCTAAGCAAATTTTGTAAATTAGACACCACATGTGTATCATCTAAGTAAAACATGAGACTGCTGCTTACACAATGATGTTGTTGATGGGGATGTGAATGAGTTTGACGAAGAAACCGATGAAACCCATGATGGCAAACCCAATAGCTGTGGCCATGGCGATCTTCTGGAATTCTGAAAGAGGGGACACATTTGACAGATACAACAAATGAACAAGAGCCCAGACTAGAGACAGGGTAGCTGAATGTGATGAAGCAACAAAGACAGGGCCAAACACAGATAAACCTACCTTTTCTGTCGGGTTTTGTGCACCTCTTTACCAGCCTTATTGAGTCTTTGACGAACTGCCGGCTGGGCTCCACAAACTGCATAACCTGATCCATTGTTTTAGGCTGGAAACAGAAACAGAACCAGTGTTAAAAGGCCCGACTGCTTTCAGTGCTGACGTTGACTTCAGCACCCTGAACCTTGTATGTGCCCCACCACGTCAGAATAATCAAAAATAAATGAACATCTCATCTTATAATTTCAAATAACATCTTATATTATCGATAAAATGTGCTTCCTGTGTGAAGAAAATGATTTGCCGTAAGTTACGTTAGTCGTCTTATCGCTGCTGGCTGTCGTAAGAAAATGTATAAGGCCGACGTAACTGGGTTTAACTGGACATATACAATAAACAAAGCAAACACTAGTTAGTGGGTTAAAATGTTGTTTAAATACAATGTAATTAATTAGAAAACTACCCTTCTTACCTGTTTCTGAGGTCGTGTTAGATGAGAAGACAGACAGACGAGTGAGGGCCACGTAGCTTTCCACCAGCTTGTTAGTTAGAAGAGCTGACGTAGACTTAGGACGCGCATGCGTACAGCGTCTCTTTCTTTTTTTTCTATGAGCTTCATTTATTGTCCACACTGCCGCCTACAGGCGAGGAGGTTTTCCAACTCAAGTTTTCAAACAGAGGCTGCAAGTGTATCCACATCACTGTCTATAATCCACACTCACTTTCCTAATTATTTCACGCTTTGACAAATAGATAAGGGGGAGGGGGGGGGGTATCTTAATGACATACGAGACATTACATTTTCCTTTTTATTCTATATCACCACATGTGTAACCAGATCTGCTTGCTGTGCTTTTGTCTTTATTATTTTTTTACAATTAAATACTTCATGCATAATTGTAATAATAGTCATCATATGGCAGCATGTTTTCTTTTCTTATTCATACCTTTGAATAATTGTGACTACTTTATTACTTTACTAGAATATGTTTGTTTCACAGAAAAGCAGAAATGAGATCTTCACTGATACAAAGGAAGGCTAAATAAAACTTATAGCATTTATTTTTGGTGTCCGATTAAAAAAATTCCTCACTCTGTAATAATTAACTTAATGTTCCAAATTGTAAATGTAAATCATGGTTGTAAATTAATGAGTAAAATTAATTTAGAAAAATAAAATAATTTTTGTTGTCATGAAAACAGGACAGCTTTGCGATGGTGTATTTTGGCTTTTGGGTATTCATTTATCTAAAACATATGGGCCTACATACATTGCTTTGAGGGAGCATTGATCCGACTTGTTACCCCAACCCTTGCTTAAACCACATTCCTTTAGTCTTTAATAATCCCTCATGTGATTTAGATTAAGATGAAGTTTCGAAATAGAAGTTTGAGTTCTCATGAACTTTGTTTTCTACCAAACTGCCAAAGCAGCAAAATACCACTGTTTACCTATTATAGTGGTACATTTAGTTAGAAAAGTAGAGAACAATACTCCAGTATGCTACAGGCAGCAGGATTCAAACACGAGTATCTAGAGTTTAGAATACTCATTCTAGATGTACAGTAAAAATACATTTGAAAGCTTTTCTTTCACACTTTTGAAATGCAAAACAAAGTCTTTAATAAGGATATATACCAACAAACAGTACGAAATATATGTAAAAAATCATGCAACCTTGTTTGATAAATACAATTTAACTAAATTAAAAGATTCATTTTGATATTTTTTATAATTAAAAAGAGCTCTTGACAGTGATCTACTGACTCGCACACTGGACTTTTGAGGGACCAGAGTCATAAAGTTTATATTTACAGATACATAAAAGGGTGTCCTTCTACTGCACAGCTTTTGCCACTTTTCACTGCCACGTGATACCGAGCATGTTGCAGCTGATGTCCCACAGTTTTTGGGCCACGTCGTCATCAGAAGCAGCCCTGGAACACGCAGCAGGAGCACAGTCACTGAGCATGGAAAAACAGATGGACCGTTAAACACTGTGTGCTGCATTTGCGGCAGTGTTAAAAAGAGTCACATTGTTAACCCTCAGCCTCATGAAGTATCTCATTTTTGTGAGTCAGCATGAAGCCAGCATTAAAAAAAGGCTCTTTATAACCAATTGTAGTTTGGCTGAAATAATGTGTGTGTGTACCTGAAGTACCCTCCGCTCAGGCTGTCCAGGCGGGGCTCCACAGCACAGTAGATGGTGGTCTGTGCTCCCTCCACTGTGGTCTTGGTGAAAATCCGGAAAATTTTCACTGCCACCTGTATGCACTGGTGCTGGTGCCTCCACAGGTCGGACTGCACCACCCCCGGGTGCAGAGAGAACACAGTCACCCCTGTACCTGCAGCACAGATACAAGCGCCCACACAGATGCAAAACAATGTTGACATAATTCAAACAAGTATGACCAAGAATGTTATTAACATATGCACACACTGCTATGATTTGCACATATTTCGGAGCGATGTGCAGGTCTTTTCCAAACAGCTGCTATACGGGAGACTGAGAAAAGTGTGAATAAAACAAAGAACAGTCTTTTCAGGCATACTATCTTCTTCTTGTTCAATGCCATCCCTTCCTTTTATTGTATTACCACAGTATACTCCCTATGTTTCAAAGCTAAAACAAAAATACTCCACATCTGGAGAATGCATTAGACTGCAGGGTTGTCATATTAAATTGATTTTTTTGCTATTAAAGACAAAAAAGGATCAAGGCAACAGCATGATAATTTCCAGTGAAAATCTGGAATCTGTCATTGAAGTCTTTCCACAGAGGGAAAAAAAAGTCAACCAAATAAAGATGAATACTTTTGCAAGCTGTCCAGTATAAAACTGACTAAATCTCTGATTTCCTGACTCACATATTTTGGCAGTAACCACAAAGGCTCTTCCTCTCTCTAACAATAATAAATGTTCCCATCAGATTTTAGCCATCAAGACTACGTTAAGATTTTCCCAACACAATGTATTTTTTTAATGCATGTTGGTGTTGAAAACATGACCATCACCTTGCAACCGTTTGGCAAGCGAGCGAGCAAACATGACATTAGCCAGCTTGCTCTGTCCGTAGGCCTTCATGGTATCGTAACTCCTCTCACTGTTGATGTCGTCCAGACGCAGGCCGGTCCAGGTGTGGGCCACTGATGCGACTACAACAACACGGGCAGGGGCTGAGCGCTTCATGAGGTCCAGCAGCAGGTGAGTCAACAGGAAGTGACCTGAGGAATCAGAACAGCAGAAAGTGAAGACGAAGAAACCCACTTATGCTGTCCACTGTCTCATGCTAACAAAATACATTTCACAAAAAATCATTATAACACAACCCTGTCATGGATTTTTACTCATCAAGAGGTTTGAAAATCGTATCCTGAAGCTCAGATATAAACAGATTTTGATATGCCATGATGCTGATATAAAGATGAAGCATTTAATGTGACACCATTATCACCACTTCCCACTCATAACCTGTTCACTGAATATATAATACCATTTCCATCATGCACTCCAGGCCTCAAAAAGAAGAAACCCTCGAGCGACACATACTCTACTTATGGCCTAATTTAATCTGTACTAGCAAAATGCTGTTGTTAATTCATCCACTTAAATACGAGGGTTCACATGTTTGTATCGGCAACAAAAAATCCACCACCAACTCATAAAACATGCCACACAACGTTAACTTTTTTGAAAAAAAAAAAAAGGACTCTGAATAGAGCCTTGTGACGGTTGGAGCTGTAACACAGTATGAGACATCACCACTGACTGTGCCAACAGGATGCTATCTCGAGTCCTCATACTGCTGCTGTGTTTCTCATGTGTAAAAATAGTATTGTCACTGCACTGACAGTCTTGTAGCCTGTGTTAGGATTTTATGTGTCTGAGCAGAGAGTCCCCATAAAGTACCCTCAATGTGGACCTACAGCATTGCTGCAATTCCTCAATAACTATCACTGAAATTATTTTTATCTGAATAGTATTCAAATGTATAATATTGAAATCAAAAGGAAATGGGCCAAACTATTCCCCCTCCTCCCTTTTGTTTATTCATCTGAAGATGGTCTTTGTGCAAATCTGTCTTTCTTTCAATCACTAACTCACTTCAGCTGCTCACATACTTCCAGTTCAAAGTGGGATATTTATGCCTGTTACGCCTTGCCTGCAGTGTATAACGTGCAGAGGTGGAATGCTGGGGGGGAAGTCGTTCCACCTCTGAGCTGGCATCGGAGGTAGGAACAGAGGCTGAAGTCGGCAAGGTGGAACAGAGTCCGGTGTGTGTGTGTGTGTGTGTGTGTGTGTGTGTGTGTGTGTGTCTGTGTGTCTGTGTGTGTGTGTGTGTGTGTGTGTGTGTGTGTGTGTGTGTGTGTGTGTGTGTGTGTGTCTGTGTGTGTGTGTGTGTGTGTGTGTGTGTGTGTGTGTGTGTGTGTGTGTGTGTGTGTGTGTGTGTGTGTGTGTGTGTGTGTGAGTGTGTGTGTGTGTGTGTGTGTGTGTGTGTCTGTGTGTGTGTGTGTGTGTGTGTCTGTGTGTGTGTGTGTGTGTGTGTGTGTGTGTGTGTGTGTGTGTGTGTGTGTGTGTGTGTGTGTGTGTGTGTCTGTGTGTCTGTGTGTGTGTGTGTGTGTGTGCGCATGCCTCAGTTTGAGTCTATGTGATTCCCCGCTTTTTGTTTAGATGCCGTGCCTCTCGGGCTTTCACAACACTGCAACTCATTGTAAATATGCCACACAAGGACACCAATATTACGCCACTGCGGAAGCAGCACAAAGACGTAGTGATGGCTAAACATCAATGCAGCGTTGTTGTGTTGTTAAATTGCGTGTTTCTGCATTTCGTAGTACACTTTGGATTTGATGCAATGCTAGAGTCACAAATGGTTGCAATGGTTGCCATTCCAGGTCAGGGACCACACATGGCCGCCATGACACAAACAGATATGTTACTCTCGTCTTCTTTAATTCTTCTTTGCATGCACAACAAATGGAAGTGGCAAACTACTACCCGACCTGTTCTTGCAAACATTATGCTTGTGTTCACCATTCCCTCAGCCTCTTAATAAGTACGGATTCACATTGTGTTACAATCCAGAAAAAATAGATAACTCCAAGAAATGATCAACTACTCGCCCACTGTATCCAACATAACTCTTTAAAGCACAATATCATCCACGTGGTGCGACAATTATCGAGAAACACACGCACAAATCTGCTTTTTAAAGACTGTTCTGTGTCAAACAGAGTGGAACGGCCCTTTATGTTAACATTTGAACTCTCTGAAGGAATCTTGATGTCCTAACTATTGTTCTGCCTTTCCTGTCTAACTGTTGACCTAAACAAAAGGCAGAACATGTGTACATGTAGCGGATGTTTTTGACTGTACAGGAACGTGTTCACGTGTGTGGTAACCATGTGCGAGCACAGTTCACACATGTTCCAGTGTTTCTCAGCCAGTGACAAAAATACCACCGATGCGTAGATCATTTGGAAGAGAGCCATTGTTCAATTCTGAGAAAACTCACACAATAAAGAAAGCAGCTTGTATTGGTCTGACTGGTTGTACAATGTGTTTACAGCTTGATAAGGGTGCACATTTTTTTTTCTTGATGAATGACTTACCCAAATGATTGACCCCTAACTGCATTTCAAACCCGTCAGCAGTCTTGGAGTAAGGACACATCATGATGCCAGCATTGTTTATCAGGATATTCACTTGTTTCTCCTCTGAAACATTCACAAAAAGAGAGAGGAAAAAGTCTGTGATAATCAAGAATCATGTATTAATTAAATGGCAGACAGATATTTTGGGTTGGATTGTAATCAATGGTTAATTAAATACCTTTGTTGATGTGATCAGCAAATGCTCTGATGGATTTGGTGTCAGAAAGATCGAGTTTCCTGATCACCAAATTCTCATTTCCCGTGTCTTCCAAAATCTCTGTCCGTGCCTCCTCTGCCCTCTCCAGGTCCCGGCATGCCATGATGATACGTGCGCCTAAAGAAAACGAGAAAATGACAGAAGGCCTAATTGTTGTTATGTTCTCAGTTCCCTGCCACGTTTTAGAACGTATAGCTCAACAGAACTCAAAACTTGAGGTTCAAGAATCAACAAGTTAAAAAACATGAACCCATGGTTAGTTGGCAGACTCTTGTTGAAGTTTAGGTTTTATGTTTGTGATTCAAGTAAACGATATAAACTTGACAATAATCAGACGTAACCAGGCATTTTAACAATCAGACATGAAGGCACTTACCAGTACTTTAAGTTAATTAGGTTAACATCCTTTCAAGTTTGCAAACTCAAAATTACAAAAGCATTGTACATTTGTCTGCATACAAAGCTACCTACTCAAATGAAGGAGGGAGAAAATGTGTGTGGGTGTGTGTGTGTGTGCGGGTGTGTGGGTGTGTGGGTGTGTGGGTGTGGGTGTGTGCTTTGATTCTCCTCTAACATTCTCTAAACTTTAGCCAAATGCCCCGCTCACATGAACACAAGACCCTCTCAGCTGTGTCATTCTCATTCACCTCTGACGCAAATTACGCTGCATTCTCCTTAATGAGCCCAGAGAAGGGGGCTTGGACAGCAAACACACACACACACACACACACACACAAGCATACACAAGCACACACACACAAACTAAACATGCATGGCCACACAAACAAACACTACATGGAAAGACAACTCCCCCCCAACAACGCCACACACACACACACACACACACACACACAAAGTAGCTGCTGTGCCCGGCAATTATGAAAGAGGAGAGCCATTAATCAGTTGGAGCGGAGCGTCTGTCTCCCATCAGAGTCTTTGTTTCGCCCCTGCTGTTGCCATATGGGAAAACACAATTGTTCCCACATTTCCCTGTTAGCTTAGTTCACCCTATTAAAGACAAAATTAAATAAAAAAGTGAGAATGGATTGTTAATGCTGCGTGAAGTTAAAGAGCATGCAGCAAGATGAGTACACAGTGTTCTGCATGCATACATAATGTCAGTATGCAGATTTGAGAAAATGCAAATAATAATTTCAGTCTAACTAACATGTTATTGTAACAGTGTTTGCTCATTTCCCTTTTCAAACATTAACTTTTGACAAGGATGAGTAAATATTCACATTTCACTTTGTCAACAAGGAAAATGTCTGCAAAACCCAAACAAGTAAATGTTGGAGACAGTTGAGATTCAGTTAGATTTGACTGATACAGCACCCAAGGAAACACCTTCTAATATGAATCCCTGCTAATCTAATCATTATGTCATCATGTTTTTGTTTTTTTTGCAGGATCTATATTAACTGGGACATTATACAGTAAACAGACAGGGCAGTCTCCAGAAACAAGGACGACAGGATTATATGTTTCCTCTGGTAGTGAGCAGTCTCTCTTATCCTGTCCTTTTCTCATTTTACATTTCAAGTGCTTACTAAATTAACAGACTAAATCAAAATTGCAGTGTGTGTGATTGTGTGTGTGTGTGTGTGTGTGTGTGTGTGTGTGTGTGTGTGTGTGTGTGTGTGTGTGTGTGTGTGTGTGTGTGTGTGTTTTTGGGTGCACCCTCCCATGTCTTTTTGTTTCCTGTCTGGCTCAGGAGGGGAGCGGACCCTCACAATGCTCCCTCTGTCCCCTGGATGCCTCATCTGTCTTCCATCACTTGAACTGGTGAAGTGTTAAACAGGACGCTCATTTGGTTAACACAGCCTCAGTCCCTTTTTTCTTTTTCATCTACCTAATGTGATGAGCTTGAAACATGTTTGAGGTTATTCCCATAAAAACAAACAAGGTATAAACAAAGCGAATAAGCAAAAAAAAAAAAAGTGGGATTACACCTGATTGTATGGTGCAGGTCTGAGGACCGAGTGCACACATAAAGATCACGCTTTGTAGCTTTAAACCACCCCCGTATTAGACGTGCTTAACTCCAGGGGGGGGGGAAAGGGGGATGTTTAAGTAGGGAAAATTAAATTTAACATGCATCACTGTGAGTATAGACTGATGCAGGTGGGGACATACACACACAGCCTGACAAGCCTGGGCAGTACCTCTCCCTGCCAGGTCCCTGGCGGTCTCTTTTCCAATACCAGTGTTGGCCCCCGTGATGATGACTGTTTTTCCATCCAACCTCTCTTCAGATGACCAGCGGTTACAGCACACACTCCTGAACAACACACAGCAAGCAAAGCGTCAATAGAAGAAAGACTCACAAATATATACATTTCATAGATTTTTGTATGTCCCTTTAAAATCAACTGGAACGTTTCTAATCCCCACTGCTGTTTGTTTCAGTAATCTGATTTGTCAGATTGTACACATTCAGTCTAAAATGTGATCCTGTATGGAATTTAACCACTAAATTGATCAACAAACCCCTAACACTGGTGACTCTTTTAACAGTGCCATGTTGGCATATTTTTGCTACTTTAAAGCATGCTTCTTGTACACATAATAATTAGTCGGTGTTTACATTTACTAGTTGTTAATATGATGACAACATTCATTTTTAATTTCCTGAAAATGTTATGTTCAAAATCAGTGCAACAGATTAAAAGAAGCAAAACCAATGAGGAGGTCGCAATCAACAGTTTTTTTCAAATCCTCTCGACACAAATAATTAGCAGGCACAGAAAAACGACTAGGATCGACAAGTCTAATCTGTTGCCAAATCTGCCTGGAAGGGTGAAGTGTAACCCCCTCGCCCCCTCCCCTGAAATTTCTGACATTCCTGCTACAACAATTGCCAGCCATCTAACATTTGCCTCATTTTCTGTATTCTGTATTTCTTCTTACCTGAAGTACATTCTTCCTCAAGAGCCTTAAATTTCCACCCCAGGATCAAGTGAGCCACTTTAGCAAGAAATGAATTTACCTCCCTCAGCGCTCTCTGACACAGTTCATCAACGGAGTCCGTGCCTGTCATGCATCCTCCGCCCCGCCCACCGCGTCATCACAATATCACGGCTGGACCAATCAGGCGCGAGCTGACGTATAATTGATTCACAAGTTCACGCTCTTGGGAAGCAGGCGGCACTCCAGCTGTCTCCTGCTGCCTAATGATTGAAGAGAGGTGTAGGAGGTCTCAAGCAGGGCCGGCCCGTGGCATAGGCAGTATAGGCAAATAGGGGCGCCATCCAGGAATGAGTGCTGCAGAAAAGTTGAAGATAAGAAGAAGAAATAGAAGGAAAAATGCGTTTGAATATCACTAAATATTATTTATCTTATATCATTTTCATGCTTTTATTTAGTTATGATCCAAAAGAAGCCATGAAAACACAACTATCACATACTTAAAAAGGCTCTATTTTCTTGTCTCCTGCTTGGCCCGGCGCATCACAACACAGCTGCTTGTTACCTGCTCGTTGTGGAGGACGAGGGCAGGTGACTTATTAGAAGTGAGTGACACTGACCACACCGATTAACATGAAGTTTATAAACATCCGTGATGTAAAAAAACAACAACAAAGCCCTCGGGAGCCCAGGGACGAAAAAAAAAAGAAGAGGAGGAAAAATGTGAAAAAGACACAGAGGTAACATGCTGCACGGATCAATGATTTATCTGTTGTAGTTAAGATAGCTTATGATCGATGAGAGTAACGTCAGTGTTTCCTAGCTCCAGTTAACATCAGTTATTTCCACTGTACTTTTATTAGGTTAAGATTATTCATGTTAAGAAAATAACCAGTGTAAGTAATACACTTCTTCTTTTGTATAGTAGGCTACGTTGTTTAGGACACAAAACCTACTTATATATTTATTGACATCTCTGTACTTTCACCCTCGTCGATTAAAATGTTTATTTTCCTCCTCCTGTTGTCATTAATAGTTTTAAGCTCTTTAGATATGTGTGCATGCTGTGGGTCTGGTTGAAGTCCTCTCTGTATAGATATGTGTGCATGCTGTAGGTCTGGTTGAAGTCCTCTCTGTATAGATATGTGTGCATGCTGTGGGTCTGGTTGAAGTCCTCTCTGTATAGATATGTGTGCATGCTGTGGGTCTGGTTGAAGTCCTCTCTGTATAGATATGTGTGCATGCTGTAGGTCTGGTTGAAGTCCTCACTGAATAGATATGTGTGCATGCTGTAGGTCTGGTTGAAGTCCTCTCTGTATAGATATGTGTGCATGCTGTAGGTCTGGTTGAAGTCCTCTCTGTATAGATATGTGTGCATGCTGTAGGTCTGGTTGAAGTCCTCTCTGTATAGATATGTGTGCATGCTGTAGGTCTGGTTGAAGTCCTCTCTGTATAGATATGTGTGCATGCTGTAGGTCTGGTTGAAGTCCTCTCTGTATAGATATGTGTGCATGCTGTGGGTCTGGTTGAAGTCCTCTCTGTATAGATATGTGTGCATGCTGTAGGTCTGGTTGAAGTCCTCTCTGTATAGATATGTGTGCATGCTGTAGGTCTGGTTGAAGTCCTCTCTGTATAGATATGTGTGCATGCTGTAGGTCTGGTTGAAGTCCTCTCTGTATAGATATGTGTGCATGCTGTGGGTCTGGTTGAAGTCCTCTCTGTATAGATATGTGTGCATGCTGTAGGTCTGGTTGAAGTCCTCTCTGTATAGATATGTGTGCATGCTGTAGGTCTGGTTGAATGGAAAGCTATTGAGTTGAGTTTTCTGTACTGCTCAGAAGAGAAAATAATATTTAAATAAAACACTATATCATAAAATGCAGATTGTTTCACAAATGCTCATCTTCTCTCTCCAGATGCAATCAGAAACATTTAAATCCATCCCCTGCTGTCCCTGGGCTGCCTGTGACCACTTCTGCTCCCTAAACTGTTTGGTATTGTTTGTTCTGTTACACTAGTTATTTGTATTTATTTCATTTTGTATTTATATATATATATTAGTGTTATTACCATTTTATAAACGTTTGTCTATAAGTATTTTTTAATTTTTTAAATAAAGACATTCTATTAAATATAAAGCTGTAAGCCAGTTTTCTTAAGTGGATGAATATTGTCTTTGGTGGTCAAACTGTCTGCAATATAAGGGACAACTGCTGAAATCTTGCCTAGGGCACCAAAATGGCTAATCTCAAGTAGTTAAATTCTTAGGAAAATAAGGTTTTTTTCCACCACTGCTGAATGTGACAACGCAGGGCTACCAGGAAGGTCGAAATGTGAAAACACTCACCTTAATTAAACGCTTGAATTGCAGGCAGTAATGTCGAGGCTGCTTGGAGAGGTCCAATAGCCTGCTGGCATCAGTAGAAGTTTTTATTTTTTTTAATTAAAATTAAATTTTTAAAATAAAAATTTTAATTGAACATTAAAAAGTACTTTTAAATATTGAATAATTATGTGGTTATTCTTTTTATTTATACCTCAGCATATTTGAGTCAAAATAAAACAAACATGAACATTCAGCAGTTTGGATTTAATCAGTGACATTTTTATTTTCAGCAGCTCGCCATCATCTCCAATATCATCACAGCTTTTACAAGTTTAGAAATCAAACTTTACCACAATGAGTTCTTTAGACTCTTGTTTCAATCTTAGTTCACAAATTACATTTTCAGCATTCACCAAAGCATTTGCATTTCTATCTACGTGCACTTTTATTTGTCCACCACAAACACATTAGTTCACCATATTCACCATTCAACTTAGCAATAGCATAAAATTTGTAAATCCAGGGTGTCAGTGCATCTGCAAATAAGTATTGCTTTAATGCATGAAGAAAAGCATAATGTAAGTTATCTCCAGCGGATGCCAAGCATCTGGCAGCTCACAGCCCACAGCTTCAAGGCAGTGCCATCATCCTGACCTGCCCAGCAGCTCTTTGCAAGCGCACAGTCCCTGTAAGGATATGAGTATTTACATTACATTACAAGGATATGAGTGCTTACAGTCCCCGCAAGGACAGGAATGTAACTTTGAAATGGTCACATAGTTTTGCAAACAAGATTAAATTCTCAGGGATTATTTTATTGAATTTTTGAAACCAATTGAAAAAGCATAGTCTAGGCACATGTTTCCTATTGCTCTCCCCCGCCACCAGCTAAATGTATCAACCTGGATTATATGCTCGTAAAAAATACTGGAAGTACAGTTTGAAATTCAGGTAAAATGTAGATATAATATGTGAATGTCTAATAAAAACACATGTTGGAATTAGACATTTAAATTTGTACAGCTTGAAAGTTTACTGGGAGGATACAAACATGTAAAAGGTAAATAATTGATGAATAAAGGTTTCTACAGGTGCTTGGACTTTTAATCCCTCACATTCCACTTCAATGTAGTTGGTTGATTATTTTTTTTGCTGACATCTTCTGATTAATATTATAATGAGCGATTCAGTACCTGGATACTCATCACTTTCAAAGAAGACATCCGGTTGTTTCATTGTGTCATGGTGTTATGCTGTCTGGTAGCTGCTTGTTAACTACTCTGCCTGATTGAAACCAAATGGTCTCGAGTAACGCGGTCAATTCAACAGCACTCCACACTGACCTGTAGTATCCTCCAGTGGGCAGCAGGTTCTCCGGGGTGACGGTGCAGTAGATGGTGGTTCTGGCTCCCTCTGCTGGGGTTTTGCTCAGAAATTTGAAGGTTGTGACTAAATCCATTATGGGGCGCCTGAAGTGCCTTGTTATCTCAGTGTTCACCATACCAGGGTCCACAGCATAGGCAGTCACACCGAGAGCTGAAGGGGAAAGACACAGAGCTCATCCTCAAAATAACTGATGTGGATCAAACACTGGTTCATTTCAGAAAGTCAAGTGACAACTGCAAAACATCTCCATCAGAGTCAATGGCACACAATGTTACATGTGCACACAACTGTGTTAGTTTGTCACATCATGACAATACTTGTTAATACTTGTAGACTCAAAGTGAGAATGGCAACAAAAGTGAAATTAGTGGAGTATTGATTGATTTCTTCAAGGAGAAATGGCTTTTCTGCAAACATGTTCCTCCCCGCTCTGTTCTTTGCCCAGAGGGGTTGTGGTTGAGGCATGAGACTGTCACGAAGGCAAGAGTTACAGATTGATTCTTTATGCATTTTTTTTTTAAACATTTTTTTAGGGAAAGTAACAAAGGAGCACAGAAAGAGACATTAAGAAGCAGATATACTACCTTCAGTCCTTTTGGCCAGCTCTCTGGTGAACAGGACATTTGCCAGCTTGCTCTGTGCATACGCCCTAACAGGGTGGTAGTCTTTCTCCCCCTTCAGGTCATCAAACTCGATCTTCCCCATATTGTGAGCCGCTGACGAAAGGTTTATGACCCGAGATGGGGCGGAGTGCTTCAGCAGGTCCAGTAACAGAAAGGTCAGGAAGAAGTGACCTGAAGATGAGTGAGAGTAGTGAGGGGGAAAAAAAACAGCTTGGAGTTGAGTCAAATTCTACAAGGAGCACATTTTAAACTGGGGCCCCAATTTGAGCTGATTTTTCTACTTCATTTTGTAGAATGAAAAGCAGCCAAGGCATACCAATTTAGGTTATTAAATCAGAAAGAAAACCCCAGGATTCCTGTCCACAGAAGTGGTTTCCATCTTTTTTTTCAGTCTCATACCTAAGTGATTGACTCCAAACTGCATTTCATGTCCATCCGCTGTGAGGCCATAAGGACAAATAGCCACGCCTGCGTTGTTGATCAGGAAGTGAAGAGCCTTCTCAGCTGGAAAACAAAATAAAAGTCACCTGCATTATAATCCTTAAAATATGAACTGTATTTTGTACTTTGTGCCTCTGTGTATGTGTCACCCACTGTTGTAGACGTTCTCTGCAAACTGGCAGATCGATTTGGTGTCAGCCAGATCCAGTTGCTTGGCGACTACTTTGGCTCCCTTCACCTCCCTCATGATGTCACGGGCAGCTTGTTCTGCCTTCACCATGTCTCTGCAGGCCAAAATCACCCGTGCACCTACAAAGATTCAGACTATCAAGCTTTTTAAAAATATCTCCATATATGTTTTGAAGCAGTTACTCTTTTTAATGCCAGCCCTTCGTTCTGCTTTCCACTGTTTTTTAGCCTCATTTATTAAACTTAATTCAGCAGTTTGTTACATGATCCAGCTCATTATATTTGTTATTCTTCTGAGCTTGTTAGCTTAAAAAAAAAAAAACTCCCCACACTGCAATGCTGAGTCACACAGCCCAAGAGAATAACTCAAAGATCCTTTAGGTAAACTTATTTATCTGCCTTTAAACATGTTGTTTTGTTTGCTTGCCTCTGCCAGCCAGGTCTTTAGCCGTCTCTTTGCCTATTCCAACGTTGGCCCCTGTTACTAGAGCAGTCTTCCCATCTAGATTCACATCTGAGGACCATTTTGTGACAAACAGAGACCTAAGAAACCAGGGTTGGAGGCATGAACAATAAGAACAATTTTAAGAGGGCTCCTAACACAGGAGGAACAGGATGATGAAATGCAAAGGCAAAAGATTTTTGTTAATGCGAGGTTTTATCCCTCTGTAAATAAATTACAAGGTGGATGAGGTTTGAAAAAAGAACAGTTCCTGAAACCACTGACATTATACTGTATAAGAAAATGCTAAAAAAAAAAAAAGTGACTTTACTTGACATTTAAGAACTGACCTTTAGAAACCATCCCCACCCATCTTTTGGTCAAATCTTGGAAAATCAGAGTGATTACTAAAACACATTTTTGGATGAATTCTATGTGCCCTTTCTATGAAGCACTAAAAAAGGGTTTGCATGACTTGAAAAAAAAGCATTTCTTAACAGAGACTATTCCACTTATATCTTCTAGTTTCTTTTCTTTGTTGATGATATCCTATTATTCATACAAGTTTCTTACCTGATCGCTTGCATCTCTGTCTTCGTTTAAGCACAATTGCAAAACCCCTCCTAAAATTTGAGTGTCTCCTTTTTTGACTTGAGTTATCACAAGACAGAGGTCCAGAGATTTGAGGAGGATGAAGACACAGATATGAGAGAGAGAGAGAGAGAGAGAGAGAGAGAGAGAGAGAGAGGACTTTATTCCCAGTTAAAATGGGTAACATTGTATTGGGACAGATTCAAATCCCCCTCTGTTGAAAGTGTTGCTGTGACTGATCAATTGGACAGAAAGTCAAAGCGAGTTCCTTCATAAAGAGCAATCACATGGTAAGAACTGTTCTACCTCATTAAACATAACAGAAAACTATTTGTCTATTTCTAATCATTTAACCTAACTTTGAATAGACTAGGGTAATATAATAAAGGGTTGTGACGTCATGTATCTTTTTTCATTAGCCCCTCTGGATGCCGTCCAAAGTGTTCTTTTGAAAGGGTGATCGGGGTCCATCATTTGTAAAGAGTACATGTTCCCTGCAGATAAAGACATTTTCATTCAGGACATTTTTATGTAAGCCCCTCACATGCCTTGCATGCAAAATCCCTTTTTCTGTGAAGTAACCAGAAACTACAACTGCTTCCTAAGAAACAATCATTTGGGGAAATCTAACTAGTCTAACTTTGTGCTTCTGCAGGTGAAATTGAAAACCTGGATCCACAGGTGAGCTGACTGTAATTTCAGCATTTCACCAATGTGGATTTCCTGGTGCTTTCCACAGGAAGGTCTAAGTTATCACCTTACTGCATGTAGGCCCAGTAACCTTAATTCTTAATGGGGTGATATTGGACACTAAGGCTGAAGAATAATCCATATAATATTGTTTAAAAACTGTTGGTGGTAGCCAATTGCTCGTATGCATTATTAGGTGTTAACACACTATATACAGTCAAATGAGAATGTTACAAACACGGCATTATGTTGTCTTAACCTATTCTTCAAAGTCAGAGTTTTTCCATATTTATCTAAGATTTTATGTCTTTAACGTCCTAAAATGCAGTAACCACTAGAGGGCAGTCTTCAGCAACTACTTACATATTTTCAGTCCAGTGAGAGATTGTTTTCTCACACATGGACGGATGGCTGAGAAAAAAAAACTGAGCTTCTATCATTTACATCTACAGTCCGGTTCTGTGCAGGCCGGCCAGCCGAGTCTCATGTAAACCATGTGAGAGCTAGTCATAACTTCCTGTTTTCACAAACAACCATAAAATACGCCGAGACGAGATGCACACTTACACACAAGCGCACACTCTTACACACATATGTAAACATACTGCAGCTGACCCAAACCAGACCTAAATGAGTGCTGCCAGCGTCTCTCATGTGGTCTCTCTGTGACGCTAGCTGGTCTGACTGCTGGATTAGTTTCTCCTCACAGCTGCTCAGCATCCCCAGGCCTGATGAAAGGCTGCCTGTCTGTCAACACGGGGACAAAGACAGAGAGGCCTCGCCACATGTGTAATTAGCATTGCCTCACAAAGATTATAGATCATCCTGAGGAGATAAATGCCTCGTTCACTGTAATTTCTTGATCCCAGAATAGGAAAGTTGACAGAGAGAAACCACAGAATGCAGGAGAGCAGCCATTGCTGACAGGATTCGATGAAAAACACATTTAATTCAAATCAAAATATTCTTTCAGTCATTCATTGCAACAGCTTTGATTGATGTGTACATAATTAGTAAAAGTCTTTTTTACATGTGGTGAGGTGGTGATTAAACAGTCCCTTTTAACTCCTATAGTGTGTGTAAGTGTCGCCTGCTGTTGATGGCTCCACTTCACACATCCACACTCAAAATAAAATAAGAGGAAGCACAAAATCTTCTCGTTCATGTTTAGAAAAAAAAACCATCAAGCTCTTTTTGAAATATATACACACACATCAATCACATATGTATCTTCTGACATATCACATAAACAATCAACTTTGTAAAATGAATTAAGACTTAATATAAACAGGCTGACATTTTACTTTTCTTCATTAAGGCTTGTACATCAAAACAAAATTAAAACAGAACACACCAAAAAATAAGATAGCTTATCAAATGCATAGCATTTTTCTTAGACACAAACTGCACTTGAGGTGCAATAAGAGAAATAAAATCTAACAAGATAAAAAGAATCGTTCCAAAACTGGATGTGTCACTTTATTGTATAATAAAAGTTCCTGTTAAACTCTGCAAACCAGGACAAAAAAGTAAAAATAACAGGGAATTGTTTTACTTCATCACTTTTTCAAAATCTTATAACTATGATCCTGTCCTGCCAGGTTTTAATGTTGCAAATCGATTGAATTTTCTACCATAAAAATGTTTACTTTCATGGCAGATATTTGTGAGAGCAAACAATTATTTCCACATGGTGGATATTTTTGTAATGCAAGGAAACTCTAGAAATCATCCAAATGTCAAATTTAGAACAGTTAAAAACACAAAGTCTACAGACGTTAACCCAGGATATTTAATGATGATAGATGGGATATGAAAAATAAAGTTACTCCTTTGTTATTACCCAATAGTAATTTCCATGCAACAATAAAAAAAATGTGACATTCTTCCAGTCTGAAGTCTACTTCAACATCCAATTCCCATCAAAATTCCCCATGATTGTCTGGAATGGAGGGAGATTCCATTTGAAAAAGCCTCAAGCTTTCGACTGGAAAAGACAAAACAAAAGGCACTTTAGAGTTGCCCGTAGAAAGATCAATGCAAACTGGCAGCTTCACATCCCTGAAAGACAATCATTCCATGACTGACCAGCCTCACTAGAATATAAAGCTGTTGATTCCTTGTTCTTGAATGGTTGGCTGGTAAAGTGGATGAATTGTGTTTTTAAAGCCATTTTGGGGAATTTCATTGGTAGCTCGGACATGAAATGAAAAAACCAACCCAAACGATCAGAGGTCAATTTTGCATTGTCACTGTTCTAATAAATAAACAGCCATTGGTCACTTTTCACTTGTCCATTTGTCGCTCTACCATCACTTCTTGCACTGGCAGTGTCTCTTCTTGCAAGGTCCTATGGGAATAAGAGTCTCCTTGTGACATCTGGCTGCTCTGGAAAAATGTGGCCGTCTCATTGGCCTCTTCCTGGACGGGGCTTCCGAAGGCAGCGTCCTGCTCCATCCCGTCACTTCCAAGAGACGTCTGGCTGACGTAGACGACGATGACGTCCCCACTAAAGTTCATGACCTTACCACTGGAGATGAAGGTGGTGTTGTTGTTTCCGGACACCTGACCTGAAGGTAAAAAAAATTGGGAGGGAGAATTAAAATTTTTGAGAAGACGAAATCTTAAAGGCCTAGGAAGAGTGGTTAAAAAAATAAAAGATAGAGCTGTTCCAATATCACCACCGATACTAATAACTTGGTTTTAACCTTTGTTACTGCTGACAGTGTGGTATCAGGTATTAGCACAACCAATTAGCCATCCAGTTTTATTATGGAACAAAAGACTACAGTGTGGTCTTAGCAGAGAGTATGTTAGTCAAAGCTAGTTCAATGTTAGCAATCAGTATTTTCCACTAATATAAAACACAATTTTTGCACTAGCACCAAAGGGTCACTTTATATATCGGTAAGGAATTGAGTCAAGAGTGGAATCAGTAGATGGAAGGAAAACATCTCTCACCAAATGATGGCTTTAGCCTCTCACAACTCAAAACAGGAAGATGATGCTTGAATGGATAGATGGATGGATCATCTCTAGCAATAGGTTTAAAAATGGGAGCCTATATCTACATTTTTGTCTACATGTGGGCGAGTATGACAAAAGCATTTTTTTCATGTGAATGAATCAACACTCCCCAATCGTACTGGTGCTGAAAATGTCAAGTACAAAGGACAACTTATTGCAAAGTGTGTAGAAATATATATATGGCCTATATATATAGTATGGTTGTGTTAAGCGCTGCCTTCCATTTTCCCGCCTACACACTGTCATAGAGCTTCCCTTATTTATGATGTAAGCAAGGAAGGGACTATATCTTGGCTAACCTCACATGACAAATGGACGGTGGGTGTAATGACAATGCAGGATGACCGCAGTGACATGGACCGCTACATCACGTCCTTTCTGCCTTATTTGTTTCAGAGAGCGGCACATTTTAAGCGTGAGAAAGTCAAGACTTCCAAAAACAAGCCGTTTCTCCTGGATTTTATGTTTTAGAGACATGGCTGAATACAAGCTTTTCAACTCTTTCCAACCCGTATACTATCAAGTGGCATGTTTCTGTTTCTCCAGGACTTTCTATGGTTTTACTGATTTATTTATAAATCTGCAACATAATTATTCCCTCAAAACATGTGTACAAACTTGTACATGTCTGCTTTCTGTTAGGAATTCCAGTCAACCAGGTGAATTAGGGAATAAACTGTGTTTTTTATTTTGTAAGCCATCTTTCACCACATTCAGCCTCCGGTTCCTAATTTTATCCAGCCTGCTGTCTGACTCTCCAGCTGACAGACCAAGCAGACCGACCCTCTTGTGACTCACAGCTCATGCCTCGTCTATTCACACATTTTGCACGCACAGACACACACACACAAACACACACACACATAATCACAATAAACGCAAGCAAACAAGCTCTACCAGACGCTTCTACTCCTACACACACACAGAAACTGAAAAGCACACATTGCCCCTATAAAGTTGCAAACACGGTCAAACAAATCATAAGCACACACACACACACACACACACACACGCACACACACACACACACACACACACACACACACACACACACACACACACACACACACACACAGGGAGTGTGTCTCTGTGTTCCCCGGTGTGAGAGCTTTTTCCCGGAATACCAGTCGGAGGGGTCTTGCTTGAAAATATGTCGTTTCAACCGCAAGTTTGAAAACAAAGCGCAGAGGAATCTGCTTGGGTTCTGTTGTTTATCCTTTCTTAATACCAAGCTGATTTTTCTGGATGCCCTACAATTGAATCGGCACAGTGTTACTGA